GATAATTTCTCTATCTCAGAAATTTAATCTCATCTTCAAGGTCTCTTTTCCCATAATATAACATTCACACTTCCAGAGATTAGGGCCTGGATACTTTCTTTTTTTGGCATCATTAGTCCCTAATGTGACTTCCTTCTACCAAAGGGTGTATGGGATGTTCATAATTTCTAAAATAGCATAAATAGAATTCATTTAAACTATCAGATATTATCTATCAATTTTTTTTCCTGATCTCAGCTTCTTATGTGTCTGGAATGAGAAGTGTATGTCACTGTGAACAATTAATGCTTGACAGAAAAGTTGATGTTAGGGAAATGAACCCCAAGATAAGTATTCAAATGTTTTTTTTCTTTCATGCAATTGTTTCTAACATATTTATAAGATTATTTCTTTGTTGCTTTGTATGTCCCTCCCCCATGGTATAACCCCTGCTTTCACTGTATTTGATGTTGGTATAATTTGTGGAGGGGAAGGGAAAAAACAAATCGTTTAACTAGGGATACAGATGGACCCATTGCAACAATGAGATGTACAAGTCGTTATGTCAACAAACGAACTTTACAACTTTGGTGGGGGGGGGGGATTGTATAGGAGGTAGGGGGAAGAGTATGGGAAGGGATGGGAAGGGTAAACAAAGGAGGAGGTAACAATGCTTGATAAGAAATGTACTCATTACCTTGCCCATGTAATTGTAACCCCTCTGTACGGTATTTTCACAATAAAAAACAAACAAATAACAACAACAACAAATTAATGCTTGAGAAGTCTTGCCTGTATGCTTGAGCTGGCTTCCAACCCAAATCATCCTGATCTCAGCCTCCAAAGTAGCTAGGATTATAGGCTCCAAAACAATCCTTTTTTTCCCTTTTGCAGTCTTCCTTTGAGTGTGGAACTGTAATCAGATAAGTTTGCTTCCCAATTTTACTGATACTGAGGCCATTTGACCAAAGAATTTTCTTTCCCCTTCTTTTTTATTTAAAAAGTTCTCGCAACCTCTGTTGACTTGTTTTTCCAGTGTATTCCGAGATGAAATATCCTTTTCATATTCTAAATCTATTTCTTTTTCTCTTACTTTTGATTTTTATCCTTCTACTTTTTGTAGTTTTTCAGTTAATTTAACATTTATCCATTTTACCTTTGTCTTCTTTTTTTAATCCTCCTTCATGTAAAAACTCATGAAACTTCTAGAAAAACTACCTTGTTTGTGGATTCTTTTGCCTATTATGTCCTGTACTTTGGTTCTAGCTCCAACTATCTCAAAAGAATATTTCACAACCAAATGTGGATAGCACACATCTTTAATCCTAGCGAATCAGATTTGGAGGACAACAGTTCAAAGAGAGCCTAGGCAGTCTGTGAGACTTTAATCTCTAAAATAACTAACAAAAAGCTAGGCTGGGGGCATGGCTCAAGTGCTAGATCATCAGCAGAGCTAACAAACTGAGCATGAGACTGAATTCAAATCTCAGAACCATTTAAAAAAAGAAAGACAAAGAGGAATAATTCATAATCATCGTTTTTGGTTTATTACCTCTAACTTTTTTCCCCCAAGTCCTAGGGCTTGAACTCAGGGCCTGGGCACTGTTCCTGAACTTCTTTGTGCTAGCACAGTTGAGTCATTGCTCCACTTCTGGATTTTTTTCTAAGTAGTTTATTGGAGATAAGAGCCTCCTGGACTTTCCTGCCTGGGCTGACTTTATCCTCAGATCTCAGCCTCCTGAGTAGCTTGGATTACAAGTGTGAACCGCTAGTGCCCAGCATCCAGTTTATTCTTCAACAGCTATTTTCTATTTTCACTAATTTACTAGAGTATATTGATTTTTTAAAAAATTATCTTGATCTTTGTGAGATATCTGACCTTTCATACCACAAATACCTTAAAATATTAGTTAACCTGCAAGTGGAATTATTAGTTTTTCCACTGTTTTCAGCTCAACTTCTCACTCTTTTGCCATTCTCTCATTCCTTTATTCATTGACACCTATTTTATGCCAAAAGTGAATTATAACATTTTGTGAAGATTTTACTAATTTCTTTTTTCTCTTTTGCCGATCCTGGGGCTTGAACTCAAGGCTTGGGAACAATCCCTGAGCTTCTTTGTGCTCAAGGCTAGTGCTCTATCACTTGAGTCACAAAGCCATTTCTGGCTTTTTCTGAGTAGTTTCAGAGGAGGTAAGAATCTCATGGATTTTCCTTCCTGGCTGGCTTTAATCATGATCCTTAGATCTCAGCCTCCTGAGAGATGTGATCCACTGGCACCTATTAATTTCATTTGTTAGTTTCTCTTTTTGTCTTCACATTCTCTTCTGTTCCTATGTGCTCTTCCTCAGTTTTACTAATATCTCTCTAAGGATATACAATTAATATTGATCTATTTTTATTTATTCAATGGCTATTCATTGAGAGTTTATTCAGTGCTGGGTATTGTGCTATTTTTTTGGTGATGGTGAGCAAAAAAGTATATTTCTTGTCCAAGGGAATATGTCGTGGTTTCAGATGTGCATATATTGTTTTACTCAGAATAACCCTATTACTTTCTCTTTCTCCATATTCAACTTTTATTACCAACAACTTTCATTGAGAGTCTTTTAAAATTTTTTTATGCCAGTGTTGGGACTTGAACTCGGGGTCTGAACTCAGGGCCTGAGCAGTGACACTGAACTTCTTTGCTTAAGGCTAGTGCTCTCTAGAGCCACAGCTCCACTTCTGGCTTTTTGCTGGTTAATTGGAGATAAGAGTCTCATAGACTTTCCTGTTTGGGCTTGCTTCCAATTGTGATCCTCAGATCTGAGTCTCCTGAATAGCTATTACAGGTGTGACCCACTTTTATATAATAAAAGTTCTAGTTATTTGAGCTGAGAGAAGTGATAACCAGTACCAGATATAGTGATAAATGATTACCAATAACTTCTAAGGTAGAAGGACTGGCCCTAGGCTGGGGTGCAAACAGCTTGGTATTATGTGCTTTCTGCAAACACTGTGTACTTCTGTGCACTTAAAAAAAAGAACTCAGTATCATTCTCACAAATATGCTCTTGTATTCTTTGTAGTAGCTTTCTATTATTATAAAGAAATACTTAGCAAAGGCTACTTAGGATGTACAGAGAAGTTTATTTTGGCTTGTGAATCTGGGGGCTCAAGTCCAAGACCCTGTGTAATGTTCCACTTCCTCCCCTTAGTTTAAGCCTCTAGTTTCCAGCTAGGAAGCAGAGAGAGATTGAGAAACAGGGGTCCCACAATACCCTTGCGGGCCACAACCTCAGTACTTCAGTGTCATTCTATTCCAGTGCGTCATCTTTTTAAGGCCCATCACTTTTAGTAATGCCAGCTAAGACAACAATCCTTTTTTCTCGTAAAGACTTTGGGAGACATTACTCATACTCAAACCAAAGCATTTGCCTAAGATTCTTCTCCTGAACTATGCTCTGAAACTCTTATCTCTTTTTCTTCTCCTGATTTATTTCATTACAAATTTTTATTGCTTCTACCTGGGCAGTATCTCTTGAATGAATGCCCACCTTCTGTTTTTCATTAAGTAATGAATGCAAATTTTTATTACTATTTGAAATGTTACTACTTGACACTTTATTTTTCAGATAAATGTTTATGCATGTCATGTAATTTACTAAAAAAAAGTGGGGAGGTCAAAGTAAAAACTAGTATTTTATAATATTATAAATCATTACCAATACCCAGAACATTCCATTCTTTACAATTCTTAAAAATGTGTTCTGAACAAGAATTTACACAAGACATACAACACAAACCCCCAGTTGTCCAATAAATGTGAAGTTACTTCTACCAAATCTGTCTGGTGGAGTGGTCTGGTATTTGGAGAAATGCAACCAATTTAGGAAGAAGGTAATCATTCCTTCTAAATTTTAGTACCCTCTGTTCTTCTAGTAACCTTTCCTCGCATTGAATTTTCCGAATCCCGAGAGATTCGTATTACTAAGAGTTAAGCTAGCTCTCTGGACAAGAGCCATGATCTGAAGTCACAGTTAGAAGAATTAAAAACAAAAACCGGCTTTGATGACCACTCAGTGTAGCTTACTTTGATGTAGGACTTATTTCCAATACATTTTGGTTTTCAGTTCTTCAAACTATTGAGTAGCCCATTCTAACTTTGTCCTTTCCAACTCCAAATTCTAATGGGATTAGTTTCTTTTTCCTTTCTCTTTTTGGCATTTTTTGGTGCCAATTCATTTTACCGTAAAAACTTGAATCCTGAAACCAGTCCTAAAACTTTTTTTTTTTTTTTTTTAATGTGTTACTTGTATTTCTTCAGGCTGTCACATCGAGGTACCAGGACTTTGCTTCCTGCAGCCCGAGGCTGGAACCCAGAGGCTTAGCAGCCAGGCGGCGGCGGTTTCTGGCGGAGCCCGGGTTAGTGGAAGGCAGCTTGGAATCTTCACCGTAAAGCGGAGCAGGTGGTGATGGCATGCGGCGGAACCCTCTCCCGGTCTTTGCACTTCTTTTAGTTCCTTCTGCCCACCGAGCGGAGGCCTTCGGGTCCTCGGAGGCAGGGTGAGCCGGAACCATGCGTTTGGACCCCACGGTCTCTTCCCGTAACACATCCCACAGCCGCTCTTCCCCGCGCCGCTCGCCTCCGCGGCACCTGTTCCACCCGGCTCACCTAGCCCCCTCCACAGGCCACGCCCTCAGGCCTTCCGAGACTCGGGGAGCGCAGCTGGACCCACCTCCTACGCTCCCAGAGGCATCCCCGCCACGCCCCGTCATCGTGGCGAGGCTTTCTCTCCCCGCCTCTCGCGCTCTGGCTCCGCCCCTTCCAGCTCCCCAACGTCCTCGGCGTCGGGCCCCCGAGCCTGCGCCTGCGCCTGCGCCGTAGGTCCGAACTCGGGGCGCGCCTTGGCTAGAACGCGGAGAGCGGCGGTTGGCACAGCCAATGGGAGGCGGCGCTGGCTCAGCGGCTGGGAGGCGGGGCCTGCGCGGGTGTTAGGTTCGCGCGAGGCGTGACCTAGTTGACAGGCTCCGAGGTGCTGCTGTGGCGGCGGCTGGCGGCCGCGGGGCTTGAGGCGGGTGTGGGGAGTCGGAGCGGAGCCGAGCGGAGCCGAGCGCCAGCGCGGGCTGAGGGTTAGGAGGGCGGCGACTGGCAGAGCGACCGGCGGCGGCGGCGGCGGCGGCGGGGACGGGGCGCCCTCTCTCACTTTTTGAGTGCCTCCCTCCGCTCCTGACAGACCACCCACCCCACACAGCACTCCTCCCGCCCCCGACCCCCGCGCACCCCACGCTCACACCCTGCCTGCCCGTGAGCCTGGGGAACTTGCAGCTTAAAGCCGGCCACCCCCACGGCAACATGTACCCCAGCAACAAGAAGAAAAAGGTGTGGAGAGAGGAGAAAGGTAAACTGGCCGCGTCGAGTTCCGGGGGTGCGGGCGGGGTGGGGGGGCGGGGGTGGGGGCGGGGGGGAGGCTGGGTGCGCCGCGGCGGCGCCCCTCCGCCCGCCTCGCGCCCTCCTCCCCCCGTGCCCGTGCGCACACGCGTGCACACACACACGCGTGCACACACTCACGCCGGCGTGCACGCGGCGTCCCCGGGCACCTGCGGCCCGCGCACGTGGGGGCGCACACCCATCTCCTCCACTCGCCGCGCCCCCACCCCGGTCACCTTCTGCCTGGCACACGGCGGGCGGCGTGGGACCGACGGCAGCCCAGCCCTCCGCCCTCCGCCCCGGCCGAGGGGTGTGTGTGTGTGTGTGTGTGTGTGTGTGTGTGTGTGTGTGTGTGTGTGTGTGTGTGTGTGTGTGTGTGTGTGTGTGTGTGTGTGTGTGTGTGTGTGTGTGTGTGTGTGTGACTTAGTTCCCCAGCACCCCAGCTGGGACTTTGACATTCCCGGGCTGGGGTGTCCCAGAGACAAATGCACTCCGGCTGCGGCTGCTACGGTGCCTCGGGAGCTCCCCGCATCATTCCTTCTTTCCTTCTCATCTCTGTCCTCCCTCTATTACCGCACACTGGCAGAGGGTTCCTATTTTGCGGGTGTTTACTCCTTAGTCCTTCCTCTCCCCCCTCCCCCAGCGGGGCCCCCTCCCCTCTTCCTTAGCTGCAGGGTGACTTTTGAAATGTGCAACTCTAGGGGAAACCTACAGGGAGCTGCCTGTCCACCCCAGCTAATGGGAGCCTTCCCCAGTCCCATAGCCCGAAGTTACTCGGAGTAAGATGGAGTGTCACCGCGAAGGAAACCCATCTCTGAATGTGTGCATCCCGAAGGCGTATCCAAATCAGATAGCAACCATGCTCATGACTGTGTGAGATTCCGTCCCCCACCCCTCCTTGCCTGCTTTCTTTACTCTCTCTGTTATCTGTGACACAGATGATATTCTGATGTAAATCTTCAATCTGGCTTTTTTTTTTGCCCCTCTCCTTTTTACATCTTTTTCCTTTCATGCTTTACTTTGTGTGTGTGTGTGTGTGTGTGTGTGTGTAACAGAAATATAGAAAAAGTATTTACATTGCTACTGCTAAGATCTACTTAACCTGTCTATGCAGGATGAAATGGAGTACAGTTAGTTAAAAGTTCTTCTAAATATCTATTGTTAATACCCTTGGAGCTTTTTTCTTCTTATATTCCTCACTATGTAGCACAGGGTGGCTTCAAATTTGGGATCCTCATGATTCAGCCTCCTTGGATTACAGGTGTGCATCACCATGTGCAGCTGCTAATAACTTTTTAAAAAAGAGTTTTAAAAATTGTTATTGTAGAGGAGATATATAGAGAGGTTACACTTACATAAGCCAGGTAATAAGTACATTTCTTTTTGAACCATGCTAATAACTTTTTTAAACCTGCAGCTTTTTTTTTTTTTTTTTTTGTTATTACAGGTCCTGGCCTTTAGGAACATTATGGCCAGGAATATTATATAGTGGAGTTAAGAAAGGAACTCTAAAAGGACCCTTTATATTGATAGGGTCTACTTCCAACAGAGCAGCAGAAAAGGGGTGAAAAGAAATTTTAACTACCAGGAAGATTTAATCTACCTGTATACATAACTAAAGTAGCCTTTTAACACATTGAAAGTGGAGTTTATGTGTCATATACTTATATAAATATAGATATATATACACACACACACACATATGTGTATATATATGTGTGTGTTCTTTTAATTTTTTTTTTTTTTTTGCCAGTCCTGGGGCTTGAACTAAGGGCCTGGGCACTGTCCCTGAGCTTCTTTTGATCATGGCTAGCATTCTACCACTTGAACCACAGCACCACTTCCGGCTTTATCTGCTTATTGTGGTACTGAGGATTGATCCCAGGGCTTCATGAATGCTAGACAAGGACTCTACCTCTAAGCCACATTCCCAGGCAATTTTTAATTTTTAAAATTAAATTTTTTTATTGTCATTATAGAAGAATTACAGTTACATAGTCAGGGAAAGAGTTCATTTCTTTTTGTGCAGTGTCACCCCTTCCCATGCATGCACTCTCCCAGTTTTTTTTCTCTTCCATCCGTATTCACAAGTTGTATACTTTACTTTCAACAGTGTGTAGTGAATACCACTGCTGTATTTGTTTACCATTTATCCCTCCATTTCTGTGCTTCCCACTTACCCTCCTAAAGACATAACTGAGCAAACAAGACAAAAAGAAAAGAAAAACATCAACAAAGAAAATTAATTATATTTTAATTATGAATATATGGAGGACTAAAAAGTTTGGTGTCAAAAAATGCTGTTAAAAAAACCTTAAGCTTAGCTTTGTAGAGAGTAGTAAAAAGCATTTGCCTAACATTTAGGAAGGCTTGGGTTAGATCATTAGCACTTGGAGGAAAAAAAAAGTTCAGCACTGTCTGATCTATGAAGTACTGTAAAATAAGTTTGCTTTATTTTTTTATTTTATTTTATTTTATTTGAAAACATACTGTACAGAGGGGTTACAATTACATGGGCAGGAAAATGCATACATTTCTTACCAAGCATTGCAGCCTCCTCCTTTGTTTACCCTTCACCTCCCTTCCCAGCCTCCCCCCCCCCCCAATCATACCCCCCCACCCCACCCCCACCGACATTGTAAAGCTGGTTTTGACATGACATTTTGTACTTCTCATTGTTGCAACAGGTCCACCTGAATCCTTAAACGACTTGTTTGTCCCCGTCTCCTCCACATGTTATACTGGCATCAAATATAGTGAAAGCGGGGGTTACACTGTGGGGGAGGGACATACAAAGCAACAAAGAAATAATATTATAAATGCGTTAGAAACACATGCATGAATGAAACAAAAACATTAAAATACATATTTGAGGGTTCATTTTCCTAACATCGCATTCTCTGACTTTTTCCGCTTGACTCATACCTATACTAGATATTGCAAATAAGGGAAACCGTGGGACCGATGTTTCTTTGGGCCTGGCTTAGTTCACTTCATATAATTTTTTCCAAGCCTTTCCATTTCCTAACAAATGGGGAAATGTCATTCTTTCTGATGGAGGCATAGAATTCCATTGTGTATATATACCACATCTAGTTTGCTTTATTTTTACAGCAGCAATTGCTTCAATTTTGATACATTTTCAATAAGGCTTTACCTTAACATTGAAAGAAATTGTACCCATTTTATTGATGATTTTGAAGTGTTAGCTTTGTATTATTGATGATAATGAAGACAAAATAGTGGAAGATACTGTTTTCAATAACAAGTAATTGATGAAATTATAGTACTTAAGAACTATTTTTTTCTGTTATATTAGAAAAACAGTGTTCCTTAAGTAACAATGTTATAATGGTTACTTCATTTAACATCTGCACAATTGTATTGTGTGATAGGCAGGCATTTCAGAAGCTTTTTAATGTCTTGATTTTTTTGTCTTTTACTTTCTTCTAATAGGAAATAAAAGTGAATTTTATTTTATCTTATTTTATTTACTTAATTATTTTTGTCGGTCGTGGTGCTGGAACTCTGGGCCTGCGTGCTGTCCAGCAGCTCTTCAGCTAAAGGCTAGCACTCTGTCTCTTGAGCCACAGTACCACTTCTGGTTTTCTAGTGGTTTATTAGAGATAAAAGTCTCGTGGACTTTCGTGCCTGGACTGGCTTTGAACCGCAATCCTCAGATTTCTGCCTCCTGAGTAGCTAGGCATGATTCACCAGTGCCTGGTGAATTTTATTTTTTTACATAAAGAGGCAAATGTACAGAGAAGATGGCTAACAAAATAATTTTCATTTTTCTAAGCTAGGCTATCTTTGCAGGAAGTTTAAAGGTAAGGGGAAAAGTTATGATGTGATACTTTAAAGTATGTCTTCTGTTTTGTCAGTATGTCTTTTTGGATTGTTTAAGTATAAAATAACATATATTATTCCACCAAAAAGGAGCTAAGGATTTCTAGTATAGCAGAGAAGCTGATGGGATGCCTGACCTTTTTCCTTTCATCCCACTGGAGAGTTGATAGCATAGTATTTTTGCAGCTGTTATTTAAGTCTACAGGAAGGCTTGCCCACTTCATTGAAATGTCAAGGCATTGTAGAAACATATTTTAGCTCTGTATTTCATCTAGTAAGTAGATATCTTGATTATATGCTTGGTTCACAGAAAAAGAATTCATTCACCTTTATGTAAAGCATTCTCTAAAATTTTATGTAATGTCACACACACACACACACACACACACACACACACACACACACACGCACATATCTCCTGGATCTTCAGTAATTTTTAAACAGAGTTCTCAAGAACATATACCTTACATTATTAATCTAATATTTTGAGCTCTAATTCAGAACTGTTCAATATATATTTTGAGTTCAAATGTTGCAACTTACCTCTTTTTTACATTTGGTCCTGGTTTTGTTCTAAGTTTTCACACTTGAACTTTTAAATAGAATGATAAGAGGCCAGGTATCATTTCTATATGTATCCTCTGACATTTAGAAAAAGTAAGTTGTCTTAGACATCTTTCAATCTGATCACTGATACTGTAATGATTTTGCAGTAGTGTTTTGAGCTTTAAAAACTTTATTGTTATTAAAAAGGCATGTACAGAGGGGTTACTATTTCATAAGTCAGGTAATGAGTACATTTCTTTTTGTATAATGTCACCCCTTCATTCTTTCCTCTGATTTTAGCTTTCAAATTGGTGCTAAGGCATCTGATAATAATTTCCTCTTCGGTCTTCATGTGATAATTCAAATTTAGCATTTCACCAAGACCTTATCTCCTGATAATAAATAGATGAGATTGCCTTTAAATTCATGAAGAACATAAATGACATATAAAGTGAAGAGCCCTAAAATAACTCCTTCAGGGTTTTATGGGTCTGTTTCTTTAGGTTTTGTTCCTGTTTATTCTTTGTTTCTGAGATTAACTGGACAGCTTGTACTCATTAGCTTATCTCTTCTATTCTTTGAGATCTGTGCTATCATTTAGTCAATCTTAGGTGTGTGTAATCTCTATGTATGTCAGTTATTTTATATGTGTATGTCAGTTCTTTTATACTACTTGTGATCAGGCTCAAGGGTTGTCTACCTTAAAGTAGCTTTTCTTCCAAAAGGCTTCATGGTAGAGTTGTAATTCTCACTTTTTTCCTTTTGTTCAATCTCTCATAGTCTCAGTTATATTGTAATAAAACTAAGGTCCTAAGGCCATTCAGCAATAATGAAAATTGGACTAATATAACACTAAGAATAGTTACAATATAAATACTATTTGTGTGCTCAGTACTATTTTTAGTGTCTTACATTTTGATTCTCACAACTATGAGATGAGAAGGTGCATGGGGTAGTATAGGGTCAAGAACTGGAATACAGTTGCTTACATTTGAATCTGAGTATCATGCATACAAGGTGTGGTACTTTAGGTAAATTATTTGACCTATTTTCCTTAGTCCCTTCATTTACAACTTTTACTTCCTTTGTTTGTTTTTTTTTTTTCTTTCTCTGGCAGCACTGGTTTGAATTCAGGTACTTTACCACTTGTGTCATGCCTTCAGCCCTTTTAAAAAATTTTTTTTTTTGGGTCCGGTCATGGGGCCTGAACTCTGGGCCTGGGTACTGTCCCTTAGATCTTCAGCTCAAGGCTAGCACTCTACCACTTGAGCCCCAGTGCCACTTCCGGCTTTTTTTTTTTCTGCTTATGTGGTGCTGAGGAATCGAACCCAGGGCCTCATGCATGCAAGGTAAGCGCTCTACCACTGAGCCACCTTCCCAGCCCCCCTCCAGCCCTTTTTGCTCTGGTTATTTTTGAGATGTTTCTTGCTTTTTGCCTGAGCCATTCTGGACTTTGATTCTTCTGTTTACACTTCTTGCTACAACTGGGATTACAAACATGTACCATTTTGCTTCCATATTGCTTGAAATATGTTTTTTTGGTTTTTTTTTAAACTTTTTGTTCTAGCTAGCTTTAAACCTCTACCTTTACAATTTTTACCTCCTAAGTGACTAGAATTGCAAGCATGAGCTGAGGGTACTTCTTGGCCTACTTTGCTTTTTTTTTTTTTTTTTGGTCAGCTGTGGGGCTGAACTCAGAGCCAAAGCCTTTTCCTGAGCTCTTTTACTCATGAGTAGTCCTCTACCACTTTGGTCCACAGTGCCACTTCTTGTTTTGTTGTGGGTAATTGGGAGATAAGAATTTCACAGGGACTTTTCTGCCTAGGCTAGTTTGAACCACAATTCCACAATTCTCAGATTTCAGCCTCCTGAGTAGCTAGTATTGTAGGTTTGGGCTACTGGCTCCTAGCTTGCTTTCGTAACAGTAGTGTAGATAACCCAGTTGATAAAAGCGATGGGTTTTATAATGTAATATTTATTCTTTCCAACTTTCCTCTAACTATTGGCAATATTTCCCTTCCTTGTATTTACTAAAACTCTTTTCCTTTTTTTTTCTCATTTCACAAGGACCTGATAACCCCATTGACAACTGGGTTTTATTTCATTGTTCTCTTTCTGCCTGCTAACCTAAATGCTTTATTTTTGAAGTTTAATCTTTTTCTTTTTTCCTCTCATCTGTCCTTTTTTCTTTTAGAACCAGAAATTTAGGTTATGATTTCCAAAATATTTATGCTAGATCGTATTAAGTTCTTGATTTCACTTTTCTTGAATGTACCACAGACAACTTAAATTCAATTTGTTGGCCCTTGAGTAATGTGAGTTTAAATTGAATAGGTCTGTCTGTCTGTCTCTTTCTCTTTAAAATATCATGTTGAAGAAAGAGTAGTTGTAGCAGTAGGAAAAATTGCTGATTTTATTTTTTCTTTGTTGTTTAGGCTGGTCTTGAACTTCTGGGCTGAAGTGATTCTTCCACTTAAGCCTCAGTTGGTCTAGAGGTATACACTACAATTCCAGGCTTGAAATACATACCATCTGCCCAGCTTGGAAATCTCTTTTGAAGTTATTATTTTGTGAATGTTGGATTGTCATAACATATATTTTATTCTTTTAAATCCATCTATTTTTAAAAATATATTTATATTATCTTTAAGTAGTTGTATAAAGGTTACCATTCAACAAATAAGTACAGTGCATCTTGATTTATATCACCCCTCATGCTGTCAGGCTGACTCTCTACAACTTGAGCCATGGCTCCATCCTGTTTTTTGTTGGTTATTTTTTATTTTGAGACTGGATTATAGACATGAACAGGAGCCCCTGGCTAGTTCTTTCTTATTTTTTTTTAGGTTAAAAAACATGCAGAACTTTCTCTTTTTTCTGTATGTTGTTAGACCATTTTATATACCTACTAGAGTCTACCTATGACTATAGTGGTCTACTTTATAAGCTAAAGGCTAAACTGCTTGTGATGGCACACAAGTCCCTGTACAATATTGATTTATCATGTTCTCAGATATTTCATTTCTGTGAAACCTTCACTCTACATATATTACAGTTTCATCAAACTAAACATGTTTCCTTATCTTTGTTAATAATGTTCTATTAGTTAAAATATTCTTACATTTTACTGACTCATGGCAAAATTCTACTTATCCATTACAAATCGTGAGTTGTAACAGATTATTCCATTGAGATCATACTTTGAAGCACCTGGTTAGATGGGGAGTTCTTTATTAATGACATTCACAATTAGTAATTTGTGATGCAATTATTTTTATAGTTTAAGCTTTTTAGTGAGGTATGTGTGTGTGTGTATGTGTGTATGAATATGTGTATTTATTTAATTAATTATTTTTTTTCCCAGTACTGAGGCTTGAACTCAGGGCCTCACTTTTTTGTGCCAGGTTGGTTGTCTACTATTTAAGCCACAGCTTTACTTTCTCATGTATTTTTTTTATTTGTCAAGGCTAGAACTTGAAATCAAAGCTTTATGCTTTCTAAGAAGTATATATTTAAAGTAATTTTTAAAAAATCACTACTACAAAGTAATTACTGAGTTGAAACTATACTTTCATTGTTGATGGCCTTGTAGAACTGAGGCACTATCTTGGTAGGTATGTTTCTGTGCTCACACTTATTTGTACTGCTGAAACTATCTGTCCTAGCAGGTTGTATTTTTTTTTATATAGACATTATTTTCTGTCTCATCCATTCCTTCTTATTTTTTCTGCAAACTCAAGATGAAGGGTCACTTTTGTTCCTGCAGTCTATAAACATAGTAAGATATCAATGATGTTAATTGAAGAACAAATGAGTTTCCTTATTTTCTGGACTATCATAAAAGTCTTCATCATGTTTGGTTTAGTTTTTCTTGATAATATGGTATTAATTTGACACCTTTTAACTCTCAAATGTGAAATCATGTATTTACATTATAATATTCTTCAAAAAGGCATCAAGTCTTTGGTCTAACATAATTTAGAATATAAGATAATTCTTAAGCTTAAAAGCTCAATACAAATGGAGATTATGCTTTTATTTTGCAAGAACGTTTACTGAAGATGACCTTAGAGGACAGACGCAAAGAATACCTAAGAGACTATGTTCCCCTGAACACCATTCTATCTTGGAAAGATGAAATGAAGGGCAAGAGCCAAAGTGATGGTAAGTTTCTCAGAATATATTTTAGGTAGATAATGTTGCTATTTATTTATATGTCTAGCAATAAAACTGCTGGCCAAAATGAACAACATTCAGGGAAGAGGATATTTTTGTGATTTTGTTATTTGAAATTATTGCTTATCATTCAGCTGTTTTTTAGTTATCTATATCATGTGCTTTTTAAGCTTATAAATATTTTTGTACATAATCTGTGTTTCTGAAATACACCCCATTTACAATATGGTACTCTATAAAAGGTACCTTTTTACTTTTAAAAAACTTTTCTGCGGGAGTTTTTGGAGCAAATGCTATTAGAGATTTGCTGCGTTTGTAGTGAGGTATGTTGAGTTTTCTTTGATTAGTTTAACATTTATTGGATTTCTTTTAGGTATTTAAAGGATTTGATATAGGTAAAAGACAGTACATTAGGAAGAATAGAGAAAAACCAAATAGCATTTCACATAATTTTAGAGAATAGGTGCTTTGTATGATGTGGTATTATGTCTACATGTAATATATTTTTATGGTCTATTTTCTCTCAAAAGCTTTTTTGATGAAGGTCAAGATTGTGTTAGAATATAAATGAAGTTTTGAGAAACAAAAAGATATGAAAAAGTTTCTAAACTTAAGTTTAACAGATATTGATTATACTCATTTCAGAATTGTTGATTAATCTGAATTGGTGAATGTTAAGTTTAGACAGAGTACTTTTTAGTCTACTTAGCAATTTAACTTTATGAAATAGACTTGGAACATAGTAATTTTACAAGGTATTGTCTTAGCTGGAACTACACAGGATATAGAGAATACTTTGGGCCAAATGTGGAATGAAAGACCAAGTATAGAATTCTTAGGGACAAAGTCTGTGGAGAAAACAGTGAAATAGGCTTTAGTGTGGAGAGTGAACACATTTAGGGTTGGGCTTTAGATAAGATTTTGATTTTGTTTTTTATAGAAGGACAAAGTATGGAGTTGGGAGAGAACAGATTTTTTTTTTAATGATACACTATCATAATGCTATGTTTCTTTTTCATAGTGTTAATACCAGTTGGTTTTTATGTACTCACTAGTAAGATTATCTGATCAGGCTTCATTTCTTTTTTCTTTTTTTTGGTCGGTCGTGGGGCCTGAACTCAGGGCTTGGGTGCTGTCCCTGCACTCTTCAGCTTAAGGCGAGTGCTCTACTGCTTGAGCCACAGCGCCACTTCTGCTTTTCTAGTAGTTTATTGTAGATAAGAGTCTCACAGACTTTCTTGCCTGGCCTGGCTTTGAACAGCAATCCTTAGATCTCAGCCTCCTGAGTAGCTAGGATTACAGGCGTGAGCCACTGGCGCCCAGCTCAGGCTTCATCTTCTTTATGACCCCATAGTTACCATGAAAATAAAGACTGTATATTCTTTTATAGTCTTGGTTACCTGCCATAGTGCTGTTGTTCATTAGATAATCAGTAAATATTGGTTCTATAAATTGAGTATATAATAAACTGTTTCCTTATTGGTAATTTTAATAGAAAGGTTTTATTTTTTAATTTTTGGAAAACATATAGCGCTTGGTTATTTCAGGAAGCTTCTTGATACTGACTAGTATATGTTCGTTGAGAAAGATAGTGTAACTTTAAAAAATATTGTGATCTGTTAAGTGGTTATACAAAGGGGTTACAACTCTTCAGTTTACAACACATTAGTTTATAAGTACAATTCATCTTGATTGTTATTATCTCTTTCATCATTCTTCCTCATCCTCTAAATCTCATCTCTCTCATCAGTTTTCCTAGTTTCATAGGGTATTAATTGAATATTATGACTGCATTCTGCCCAAAACTTCCTCTCTTCATTCATTTGACCTCCCTCCACACATCTCAAGTGTATGTTACTCATTTGTTGGATTGTGAGTTTTTCTAACGAGTTACACCATTTGAATCTTTCCCTAATAAACCATGCTTTGATGATTATGTTTGTCTATATGATGTCATATGTCTTGTTGATATTTTTGTGCATTATTTCCTTTCTTTCCACCTTTCATGTATAATAAAAATTCATGTGGAAATAAAAGTCTGAGAAATTAAGGCAGATGCTGTTTAATGTAGGTAATAAATACTTTGTAATAAAAGGTTACTTTTATTGTAAGTGTTCTACAGGTCAGCATTTAATAAATGTATACATTAGATAAAGTTTTCACTAGATAAGACAAAGATGAGAATTCATATGTTATATGTATTCATAAGCATTGTATGTTATTTTACAATATTTAGTAACTAAATGATTTCAGCTTATAACAGCTTAAGTTGAATAAGTATAAATTTCTACCCTTGGACCTATTATATGGACTTTAAATTCTAGGATAAAAATTTCAGAGGGTTGCCATTTTAAATGTACTTAGTTTTACATTGTAGATTCTTTTTCTTTTACTACTTTAGTAGTGTGGGGGATTGAGCCCTACAACATGATGCTAGACAAATACTCTGTTAACTGAGAATTATCCTCAGTGCATTACTGATTATGGACAAGTATAATAGGTTATTCTAATATTATATCCTGTTTGAATCTATTACTGTTAGTTGGTTTGTTTCAAAAACCAACTCTGTTACAATGTGGTTTTCTCTGGAAGAGTGAGATTAAACAACTTCTAAGAATCTTGAGAATGATATTTAAGTATGAAAACATAAAATTTTCTATGCAATAATATTTTTGTGGAGGTGTGAGCTGTTATTTAGTCAAATATTTATGATATAATTTAACTAGTAAAATGGAAACAAAACATGAAGTTTAAATTCATGAATCACTAAATGGCTCTGCTTTTCCTCTACTTTATTTTTGGTTCTTTCAACTACTTTTCAAAATTATTTTGACATTACATAAGTAAAATTTGCAGCATGTACAACTGTTATGTAAATTGTTCTCATATGAAATATATTGTTATAATAATATAGACAGAAAAAACAATAATCTTTTTATATGTATAAAAATGACTTGGTGTTGAGACCATAAGGTCCAAAATTCTTTTTATATACTTTATAAGTCTATAATTTCACCAAATATCTGCATTTTATAGGCCCTGATGGCACTCAGGACCTTATGCTTGCTAGGTAAACATCCTGCCACTTGAGTCATAACCTATGCAATGTTGTTGAATATTTGGCATTTTACTGTTTTATTGTCATAACCCTGAAAATTAGGTTCTGGCTTCTTTAGCATTACATTAAAAATTTTTTTGATTATAGGAGGCTGTGATAGCCTAATTGACTTGAGATTTGTGTGTGAGAGAGAGAGAGAGAGAGAAAGAGAAAGAGAAAGAAAGAGAGAGAGTGTGAATGCTGGTTCTGAGGCTTGAACTCAGAGCCTAGGTGTTTTTTCTGAGCTTTTTTTTTTTTTCCTCAAAGCTAGTGGTCTACTACTTGAGCCATAGGTCTACTTCTAGCCTTTTGGCAATTAGTTGGAGGTGAGAGTCTCATGGACTCTACTGCTGGGCTGGCTTTGAACCACAATCCTCAGATCTCACCCTCCTGGATAGCTAGGATTATAGGCATGAGCCACTGGTACCTGAGATTTTTAAAAACTCTTTTGAGGAAGAGTAGTCCTTGTGTTTAATCATTGAATCTGCTCCTTTAGCTTGTGTTCAGCTCATGTTCATTAAAAAGGGAAGAAAAAATATAGCACCATCCATTCTATTAAACTATTACACAGTGCTTTATTTTTGTAATTTTGTTTTTGAAGTAGTGTAATTAATATAAGGGAGTTTCATTGTGATATTTCATACATATACACAATATACTTTGAACATATTTACCATGTCCTCCTGTACTTTTTTTTTTTTTTTGGTGGTGTTAGATATTGAACTCAGGGCTTCCTGCTTGCTAGGTAGGTTTGCTACCATTTGAACCACACCTCCAGTGTTTCTCTGTGTTGACTGTTTTTGAGATAGGGTCTCACTTTCTATCTGGGAAGGTCTAAGCTACTCTCCTCCTACTTGTATTACCCATTTCACTGGGATAACAGGTTTGTGTCACTGTACCCAACCATTGTACTTCTATAGCTGGGAGAATAGGCATGCCCCTAAGCCCACCCATTGGTTGAGATGAGGTCTTGAAAATTTTTGTGCCATGGCTTGCCTTGAACTCTTGTCCTTATCTCTGCCTTCCAAGACTGGCACTCTACCACTTGAACCATACCTCCATTTCTGGCTATTTGCCGGCTAATTGGAGATAAGGATCCCATAGATTTGTTTGCCTGGACTGGCTATGAACCATGATCCTCAGATCTCAGCTTCCTGAGTAGCTAAATTTATAGACATAAGCCAACAATAACCAATAGTGACAGACTTGGGGCAAAAAGTCATGTGAGAATGTGAGGTCCTTTGTTCAAGCTCCAGTACTGGAGGCAAGATCAGTATGAACAGTTGCTGTGGTTTAATCCTACTTACTTTGGAGCCTGTGTATTGATACCCATAGTGTTTGTACTAATAATTTACATTCCCACTAACATTTTTTAAGGAGTGCCTCCTTGCATTCTCAACTTGTTACTGTTTGTTTTCTTGATGATTGCAAGGATTGTTAAGGATGTTGACCATTTCTTTGTGTATTTACTAGCCCTTTGTATTTATTCTTCTGAAAATTATCTGTTCAAATCAAATTTTTTCAATTATTAATTGCTCTTTTGCTGTTTAATTTTTTGAGCTCTTTGTATATTCTTGAAATGAATCCTTGATCTGTTGAGTAGCTGGTGAAGATTTTCTCCCATTCTTTGGGTTGTCTCTTGGTTCTGGCTAATTTTTTTTCATGTCACATGTTTTCTCTCAGTAAAATATTATATCTCAATAATAAACCTCCTTGAATAAAGCAAAAAAGTCTTTTAGATTTACTCAGTTGTTTTTATTATTTCTTTGAACATACATGGAAAATACAAGTGAAATATATTAGTTACTACACTCCTAAAATGTTTTGCCATTAAATTTTATTTCTCTGAATCATTTTCTTTTCTACCCATAGTTGTTGATGTCTGTGTCTT